AAAAAAAAAATATATATATATATATATATATATATATATATATATATATATTATTTTCACTTATTGTCTATATTCCGAGCAAATTGTGGTATTTAAGACAAATATTAAGAGTGACAAGAAGTAAAATAATCTATCGCAATCGGTATTTGATATTAATGATAAAAACAAAAAACTTTTACAGTGGATGAGAACAATAATTTTTACGGATATTTGTCCACTTTGCTTTGGGTTTCCCCAAAATGTCTCATATCAATGAGAGAGGATCTATTATTTGCATCTTTAACAAATATGACATTGTCTACTTTAAGCAAAATTCTTTCTACTTTTCTTTTGATCTTCCTAAAATGCCTCTTACTAATACTTTGTAAAGTTATTGGAACATAAAAGAGGCAATGGCAAGAGTTGAGACAAAATCGTCCTATTACTCAATGTTGAAATGCACATTCAATGCTAATGGATGCTAGAAGTTTCTAAATGGATGATATCACGAGGATGTTTTGGTTTGTTTAAAAGGATTCAATGCAGTGAATTATGTCTCAACAATTTTTGTATTCATTTGTACAATTCGAACTCTACGATTGTGGTGCTTCAAAGCCAGTGCAGTCACTGTCATGACTTATTGAGAATAGTTTTATATCGAGAGGTGTAGATCTCTTATAATCTTCATATTATAATAAAAACTTCTCGTAAACTCGAGTTCGAGAGTAATAAGTATATGAAACCGAGCTACAATTTACGGTGCATGGAAATTTGTGAAGCATGTGGCATATTTGGGGGGTCCTTTGAGGAATGGGAGAGCCTTAACCTTTTCCACTCATTCTTTCAATCCTTCATTTTTTTTTTATTCCAAAAGGCGCTTTTAAAAAGTCCCGTTTTCCCCGTTCTCCCCACCGCCGCTCTTCTCCGCTTCTTCCAATTCTTTCAACCACCTTTCTCCGAGGTAAGCCTTCCTCATATTAAATAATTAAACAAAATAATATTTGTTTTTATTTTTCTCGTTTATGAATTATAAATAAATATTATTATTTAAAACGACCTAATGAACTAAATTCTTCGTTTTAGATCGTTGTAATACCATTTCATATCCTGTTTCTTTGAAAATAATATATAAATTTTACCATAATACCCTTCATAGTACGAGAGCTAGAAATAGATTGATTGAGGTGTTCGAGCTGGTCACTACACAAGACGGGTTTTTGCCAAATGATCGTAATATCTTTTTAACTTACATAATTTGTCGTCCATCAATCAACAAAATGTCGTCGTCTTGTCTATGCCCTACCGTTTCATGACTAGTCCACATGGATTCGCACTTAAAAAAATGGTAATATCTAATATTGGGTTTAAAAAAATTTTGAATTTTAAATTATTTTTAGATGATAAAATGATTTTTACGTGTAATTAAATAATTTTTGAATTAAAGTGGATAAGGTTTGTAAGAAAATTATGATTTA